TCTGAGTATAATGTAGTCCAGTACAATTAATTAATAAATGTAGTGGCAAAAAGAATTAAACAACAAACCATATATGTGCTGCTACAGCAGTGAAAGTAGTCATAAATACATCTTATTTAAGTATTAATATATTTTATTACCATAATAATAATAATAATAATACACTTCAGCATTTAATCTCGGTACCAAAAAAAAAAAAAAAAAAAAAAAAAAAAAAAAAAAAAAAAAAACCTTTTTTGCCTTCTAATTTTGTAGCAGTCAGTCCTCTGCTTTTGTCTTTCAAGTAGGTTAATAATTTAAGTCCAGTATTAGCTATGTGGTAAATATGTGCTCAAGACTCTTTCACAGTCGACTGAGGCCGTAACACTGTACCGTGTGCAAGCATGATGTCAGTGGGTGAAGTTAAAATAACTTCCAAAAGGCATGGGAATGTGTTGAGGAGCTAAGAAAGGAAGCGGCACACATTTGGATCCCAAACACATAAGGCAAACCCGGTTCACCATTGTCATCATCCAAGCTATGCTACATTATAATGCTGATTTAATTTTGCAGTGGTACTGCAGGGTCCCTTTGATCATATGAACTTACAAATACTTAGTGCCTAAAAAAAGAGGAACTAGAAAAGGAGGAATGAGAAGTGTTTCAGTTGTATCACAGCCAATCAAAGCTGGATTCAAAACTGCTCTGACTATTTGTTACCCAATGCTGTGATGAAGAGGAAGACGACGGTTACCTTTTGTTTGACTTGGTTGATACCATTTCCTCCTGCATTTCCCCTGTGTTCATATAATAAAAAAGGGAAACCTCTACACTCTGTCCTTCATTGCTTTGTATATAAACAGTAAAGTTAACATGATGCTACATAACGTACCCTTCATAGACTTTAAGTCAGTTGTTGTTCTGCACATTAGCTCCTGTGCACTGACATTTCAGAGTAAATATTAAAGTCACTGTGGTCTCATTGTGTCAACAGGTTTGTCCTAAAGAAAGAACACACACACACACACACAACCTTGAATCCACCACATGACTCAGTAATATTTGTGCCTTGTGACCCAATTTAGTCACAGCCTCCAAGCACAGGACTCTCCTTTGTCCTCATAGTCCCATCTTCACAGCCTCTCCTTGAGATTTTCTTGGGCTGTTAGTTATCCAGCAGCACCTTTGCCAGGGACTGGAGGATGTCCCTCTTCTTATATAGGTACATCTGAGTTTCCCACAGCATGTCCACCAGGACCGTGTCACTCACTTCATCCAGCATTACGTCCTGTGACAGCTCGGGGCTCAATCTGCACAAAACACAGTTAACACCCTTTGCAAAGAGTTGAGGTAATTTAAAGTCAGACAATAATAGGTAACTGCAAATGAGACAAACACTAAACTTAACACAGACAAAATTAGATGTATGACAACCTGCAGAACTGTGTTTGAATAAAAAGGATTTACAGATGTAGTGTAGCTCCATGTGCGCTTTTTAAACGTCTTTATAAGTGGTATGGTTAACAATCTAGGATGCAATAAAACCAGTTGTATTTCTGAGGCCAGCCACAGAGCAAAACGGTGGACTCCTACATGGGTTCTCTGAATTAGTACGTCAACACTTTCTGCTGTTTCCAGGGGACTGACGATCACATTTGACTGCTCTTGTGTGCTTCCAACCTCTGGAACGCTCTAATAACTGTCACACATCTTTTGCTTTGATTGTCACTGTAGGTTCAATACCTATATCTTTGCCAGCCACATCTGTTTGGCTTGTGTCATCAACACTGCATGTTGCAGGTCACATGTCTTTAGTGGTTTAATGCAGGGGTTTTCAGTAGGGATGGGCAATGAATTTTGAAT